ATTTTCTTTGAGTAAATACACAGAAGCGGAATTGTTGAATAGTATGGTATATCTATTTTAATTTTTTGAAGAACCTCCACACTGTTTTCCATAGTGGCCGCACCAGTTTACATTCCCACGAACAGTACATGAAGATTCCCATTTCTCTACATCTTCACCAACACTTGTTGTTTCTTGGCTTTTTGATATTAGCCATTTGGACTGGTGTGAGGTGATGTCTCATTATAATTTTGATTTACATTTTCCTAATGCTCAGTGATGTTGAGCATCTATTCATGTGTCTGTTAGCCATTTCAGTGTCTTATTTGGAAAAAGGCCTATTCAGATCCTATGCCTATTTTTTTAATCAGATTGTTCATTTTTATGGTTTTGAGTTCATTATATAATTTGGATATTAACCCCTTATCAGATATGTCATTTGTGAATATCTTCTCCCATTCAGTAGTAGTAGGCATTTTATTTGTTGATGGATTCTTTCACTGTGCAAAAGCTTTTTAGTTTTATATAGTCCCAATTGTTTATTTTTTATTTTGTTGCTCTTTCTTTAGGAGGCAGATCCAGAAACATATTGTTAAGGCCAATGTCCAAGAGTTTACTGCCTAATTTTTCTTTTAGGAGTTTCATGGCTTTAGGTCTTACATTAGGTGGGGCAGGAGCTGCTTTGAAGGGGTGCCTACTGAAGTGGGTGCATTGGGTAAGATAGGGCTGCAGGGAGTCAGACAGGGCAAGTGGTACTATCAAGGTAGATGGATAGTGTCAGAACTGGTGCCTGCCAGCATTGGGTCAGAAAGAAGTTTCCTGTTCCAGGAAAAAGTTCTACAGCACATGCCCTAAAATTAGCCAATAAATCTTCTTCATATGTGGCCCAACTGCTTTTCAAACTGCTGTCTCCATGTTGGGTGTCAGAACAAGTGAGATTGTGTGAGCCCTTTAAAAACAGAGCCTTGGTTTCCTATAGTCCACCAGCTCTCCCAGAGTTAAGGCCCACTGATTTTCAAAGCCAAATGCTGTGGAGGCTCATCTTCCTGGTGCGGATCTTCAGGGCTCGGAGTACCCAGTGTGGGGCTTGAACCCATTGCCCCTCACAGATGACTTCCATACCTATCATATTCCTCCCACTTGTGGATTGTTATGACAGGGCTTTCGTTCCCAATCAGGATGCATCTCTGCCTTCCCTACCCTTCTTGATAGGACTTTTTCTTCATATCTTTGCCTATGGAAGAGATTTTCTGCAGTCTCCAAGTCATCCTCAGAAAAAGTTGCTCTAAATGTAGTTATAGCCTTGATGTGTCTCTGGCAGGAGGTGAGTTCAGGATATTTCTACTCTGCCATCTTTCCCTCTAAGAATGATAACTTGATTTCTAGTGTCCAAATCCAAAGATGAATTTTACCCCAGGATGGATCATACCCAGAGTTTCATCCATACTTACTTTAGATGATGAGATTTGGTACTTTTGAGCATGTAATATTAAATGAGATTTTGGACTTGAGTTGATGTACTGAGAAATTTGGGGATTGGTGATGTAGTACATGTATTTTGCATGTGGGATGGATGTGAATATTCTGGGACTAGAGAGCAGATTATGGGAGACTGAATAATTTCCCCTCTCCCACCAAAGATATTCTAGTTCCTGGAACTTACGTGTGTTACCTACAATATGAATTTTAAAAAACTTTGTCAATGTAATTAGTTTAAAGATCTTGAGGTATGATTAAGTTAAGGATCTTAAAATAGGAAGATTATCCTTGATTATTTGGGTGGGTTCTAAATGTATCTCAAGTGTCCTTATCAGAGGGAGGCAGAGGGAAATTTGTCACCAACAGAAGATAAGAGGGGGATGTGACCGTGGAGGCAGAGATTTGAATGATGCAGCCACAGCCAAGGAGTGTTGGTAGCCACCAAAAGCTGGAAGGGCAGGGAGAAGATTCTCTCCTAGAGCTTCTGGAAGGATTGCAGTCCTGCTCACACCTTCTTTTCGGCTTAGAGAAACTAATTTTAGACCTCTAGCCTCCAGAACTCTGAGAAAATAAATTTATGTTGTTTTATTCCATAGAACTTTTGGTAACTTGTTTCAGCAGCCAAAGGAAATTTGGGTGATTGTTAGAGATGACGTAGATTATGTTGCAAGTCCTTTGTAGTTTTAAGATGCATTAATTCATTCATTCAACTAACCAACAAATATTGAAGGCGATATATAGGAGTAATTAAAAGCACAGACTTTGGACTCGATTCAACTTGGGAGTGAATTACGTGACCTTCATCAGGTTGCCTAACTCTCTGAGCCTCAGTCTCAACATCTATACAATGGAGATAATAATAGTACTTAAGTCAAGGTGCGGTTGTGAAATTTACATGGGATAATGCACATAAAGGGCTTTGTGCTGGGCACAAGGGCCATTGCCCTGTCCTTGTTCTAAGAGACCTCTCTATCATTGTGGGAAGAACAACTTAGAGAGATCCAGACTGTGGATAGAAAGCACAGGAGGAATTGGGGACCCGTTGGAGGCACTGGTAGTAAAGGGTAGGAAAGAATTCCTAGAGAAAGTATCTTCTGAATCCCCTGAGGGACAGAGTAAGCTATAATTTACTCTTTTTATTTTATTTTATTTTTTTAATGTTTTATTTATTTCTAGGAGAGAGACAGAGAGACAGCGTGAGCAGGGGAGGGTCAGAGAGAGAGGGAGTCACAGACTCTGAAACAGGCTCCAGGCTCTGAGCTGGCAGTCAGCACAGAGCCCGACGCGGGGCTCGAACCCATGAACCGTGAGATCATGACCTAAGCGAAAGTCGGACGCTCAACCGACTAAGCCACCCAGGCACCCCAATTTACTCTTTTTAATACTATTACTATTAAAATATTACTATTAAGGGGGAAAACTTGTTCCTGGTTATTGGGTCTTCTAGAAAAAGCACATCTTTCAAAAACACATATCAAAAACAGTAAATTAAAAAAAAAGTTTAAAATAATTCCCGTCCCCCACTAGGTTTGCACAGGGAGTCAGGCAGGCCCCCGCTGCCACCTTGGCTGCTGACACTGCCACCACCACCTTCATTGCCTTGATCCTTCATCCCTCACCATGGCTGAGGAGCTGTCTATGGCCACACCCTACACCAAAGATAATCTTTACTGCCCCACCTGTTAGGGGTGCTCAAAACTGCCATGGGGCCATGGCCTATCAGCACATGTTCTACAAGAAATATTTTCTGACTAGAGCGCCTGGGTGGCTCAGTCGGTTGCATCCGACTTCGACTCAGGTCATGATCTCACAGCTTGTGAGTTCAAGCCCGGTGTCAGGCTCTGTGCTGACAGCTCACAGCCTGGAGCCTGCTTCCAATTCTGTGTCTCCTTCTTTCTCTGCCCCTCCCCTACTCACACTCTGTCCCTGTCTCTCTCAAAAATAAATAAAATTAAATTTTTTTAAAAAAGAAATGTTTTACGACTGCAACAAGAGAAAGCAGAATACGTTGTCCCCTCTGTTATGGATATATGACTAGAATTGAGAGAGAATGTCCCGAACAAGCCTTAGACATTGAAACTATCATGAGGAAGTTTTCTGCTAGTTACAGATGCTGTGCAAAATGGATTAAATTCCATTACTTGAGAGATCATTACAAATCTTATTAAGAAGTATCAAGATGGGGGGCTGGTTGGCTCAGTCGGTTGAGCATCCAACTCTTCATCTCGGCTCAGGTCATGATCCCAGGGTCGATTTCAAACCCCGCATCAGGCTCTGCACTGAGCATGGAGCCTGCTTAAGATTCTCTCTTTCTCCCTCTGCCCCTCTCCCCTGCTCTCTCTCCCTCCCTCTCACTCTCTCTCTCTCTCTCTCAAAAAGAAAAGGTATCAAGATGAATATTGTGTTCCCTCTCTCATTTCAAATTTTCAGATCTCTCAAGATTCAGTAGAGAACAGTAATAGGAGTGAAACACTCACTCCTAACAACGCGGAGACTTGTCAAGAGAATACAAGTTTTTCTGGGCATCCCACCATTAAGTGTCCCTTTTGTCAAGGATCAAATTTTACCTGACAGCATTTATGGAATCACTGTAACAATGATCAGATGGTTTCTATTTCAGATAGTGCCTGTGATGTGCCCTATTTGTGTGTCTCTTCCTTGGGGAGCTCCTAGTCAAATTACTAGAAATTTTGTTGGTCATCTAATCAAAGACATTGTTTGATTATGAATAATTTATTAATCTACATCTAGAATGAGGAAATTCAATATGGGACTGCTGTTGAAGGATCAACATATAAAGACTATAGACATCTCTGTGCCTTTGTACCTGTAAATGCTTTCTTTAATGGGACAACTACATGAAGTCACTATTTCAATATATTGATACATGTGTTATTGAAACGAATTCAATCTTTTAAAAGCTTAAAATTCTTATTTTATTTTTTTAATGTTTTATTTATTTCTAGGAGAGAGAGAGACAGCGTGAGCAGGGGAGGGTCAGAGAAAGAGGGAGTCACAGACTCTGAAACAGGCTCCAGGCTCTGAGCTGGCAGTCAGCACAGAGCCCGACGCGGGGCTCGAACCCACGAACCGTGAGATCATGACCCAAGCGAAAGTCGGACACTTAACCGACTAAGCCACCCGGGCGCCCCTAAAAGTTTAAAATTCTTAAGTTACTAGAGAGATCCTCGAAAGGACCCCTATCCCTGAGGAAGTTGGAGACTCATAGCAAGGATTTGAGATGATGGCCTCATATTTACCATTTATTAAAACTAAACAACAAATGCACAGAATGGAGCAGTATGCTGAAGCGAAAGGGACCATCTGAGCATGCGCACTTATGGGCATACGGAACCTGGCGTGGCCAACTTTGGCAGAGCACAATCCTGCTTTCAGCTTGAAAATCTACCCACTGGAAAAAACGGTACTGTCCCTGAAGCTGGACTTAAGAGACCCCGTGCCCGACTCACTACCCTCTGATTGGCCAATTCAAGTTCATTCACTGTTCTGACTGGTTGATTGTCCTTGGGCAGTGGAATTGTGGGATTTCATCTGGCGGAACGACTCTTCATATCCGCCGCTTCGCCTGTGAGGTAAGCTTGCTTTTTGGACGGCTGTGGGCCTGTTAAAGGTAGGCGGGTAAAAAAGTAATAAATCTCCGCTGGTCATTCAAGTAGTTTAATTCTCGCTGGGCGTCCCAATATCTCAAGATCCTTAGGCCTGAGAAATGACTTAAAGCCTTTCAGGGCAATCCCCATCAGGTAAAGATAAAACTATTTTTCGCCTGTGAAAAAAAAAACAACAACCTATTTTTCTAATTGGCCTTCCTGAGGGAAGAATGTCCCTCAGTCTGAGAAACCCTCAAATCCAGACGTCCCTAGATTTCTTCAACCGGAGATAATAGCCACTGCCTAAGTGACTCCTATAGGATAAAGCAGAAACCTTCTTTGCCTTAAAGACCCCTAAATTTTCTCTCCCTAAGAGATTCCCAATGTTGGGGAACACCAGATTGCTGCCTTGAGATTCTCCACGTTCTCAGCCTAAATGATGGCTGATCATATAGTCTTGGAGAGTCTAGCTCTCTTCACACTAATAATTTTCAAATAAACTAATAATGAGCTCTAAATCCACTTTATGTTGGCGATTCTCATTTATTTTTTTTTAATTTTTATTTATTTCTAGGAGAGAGAGAGAGAGCATGAGCAGGGGAGGGTCAGAGAGAGAGGGAGACACAGACTGAAACAGGCTCCAGGCTCTGAGCTGGCAGTCAGCACAGAGCCCGACGCGGGGCTCGAACCCACGAACCGTGAGATCATGACCTAAGCGAAAGTCGGATGCTTAACCGACTAAGCCACCCAGGCGCCCCAATTCTCATTTATTTTCAACAGAGTAAAACCCCACATCCCTCTGCCTGAAAACCCAAACCCATCGGTCAGAGACACCGTATGGTCTCTGGGACTTACCTCTCTATACTTTTGCCTCAAAACACACTCCCTCCCCCCTCATAAAACTAGATGCTCACTTCACTTCTTGCCCAACAAGGTTGTCTTTTATCTTTCCTTCAGGATAAACCAAATTTGAGGCAAGCTACCATCAACAGTAGCCAATCGCTTCTCAAAGACTCAAAGATGCTTTCATGCTTACAGAAAACCTGTCATCCCTAACCGATACTTCTCCCAAAGTCTCTAGTCCCGTGTTCATTTGACTCCGCCCCCCCAACCCACACCCCCCACAGCCATGTCCTTTTTTAGGGACAGATAAGCCCAAGATGGAGAAAAGTAGAACCTAGAACTTCAGGTGACTGACCGAATGTAGCCTCCTCTCAGTGCTATCTCCCCTCCTCAGGTCCTTTGGCCACGTGGCTGGAGAGATTTAGGTTATGTCGCTTCAAGATCAAACCATCCCCAGCGCTATGAACAAAGGAAGCTCCTTTGCAAAGAGACCCGAAGCGGTTACCCAGAAATCAGAGAATTGCAAGGTGAGGTGATCTGGAGGGGGTGGAGAAGCGGCCCAGGGGACACTGTAGAGTGACTAGATTTCTGGGAAGGTGAAGTCAGAGGCACTGGAGAAAAGGAACAGGATGTCAGGGGGAGATCCAGAGACTCGGGAGCTTCCTATCCTCCCTCTCTCCTCACCAGCATCCCTGAGGACTACAGGTCTGTGACCTTGCACTGCATTTAGTGACTCTCAGTCCATTCTGGAAGGCGGAAGAACTTGCTACCAGCCTTAAGCATCTACTGCATGCATGGAGAGAGGCTAGGGAATGTTACCCATGACATTAACGGGGAGGGATTATTATCCCCAGTTCACATATCCAATATGGAGTTCCTGCGGCAGAGGAAGAGACCCCAGTTGAAGGTCAGACATGTTTAACTGACTTACTGCTAGGATTTACTTATTTTTTCTTTCCTAGAGCTTCAAGGCTATTTCCAAGTACTTCTCTGAGGAAGAGTGGGCAAAACTTGGATACTCAGATAAAGTCACCTATGTGTACATGAAAAGAAACTACGACACCATGAGTGGTCTAGGTAACAGAAAGTTCTGGGTACAGACAAGCCTGAGAACACATCACTATCCCCTCAGTCCCTTTACATGCCGTGGCTTCTTCCTAGGCTGCAACAAGTGTCCCACACCTGCCCTTTGTGCAGAGAGGAATCCCAGTGCAGCTTTGGGGCACTTCTTTTCCTTTCTTTTCTTTTCTTTTCTTTTCTTTTCTTTTCTTTTCTTTTCTTTTCTTTTCTTTTCTTTTCTTTTCTTTTCTTTGTGTTTTATTTATTTTTGAGAAAGATAACCATGAGCAGGGGAGGGGCAGAGAGAGGGGGGTGGACAGAGGATCCAAAGCAGGCTCTGTGCTGACAGCAGCAAGCCCAGTGTGAGGCTCAAACTCACCAACCGTGGAATCATGACCTGAGCTGAAGTTGGGCACTCAACCGACTGAGCCACCCAGGCGGCCCTCTGCCCTTTTCTATTCTGTGCAGGGCGGAGGGCCTGGAGTGGCCACAAAGATGCTCAGATCCCACATGTTTCTCTTCTGCTCACCCTTGTTCAGATCCCCCCAGCTGATGAGCTTTACTTTTCCTGCTGACTTCCAGCACCCCACATCCCTCCTCTCAGGTTGTCTCTTAAAGAACAAATATTTTGCTTATTTCTAGGTCTCAAGACCGCCCTCCCAGCCTTCATGTGTCCTAAAAAACGGGCCACTAAATCCACTGGGCATGATTCTGCTGAAGGCCAGCACCCTGAGAATGAGAGTAAGTGGATAAGAAGGACCTGGAAAGGATGTCTTGAAGCCCAACTGCTTTGGGTGCAGCTGCTTGGGATGGATTCTTAGGAATTTGTTCTCTCAAAAGCATCATGGCTGAATGAGAAAAGTTGGATATAGAAGGTTAAGTACAGTCAGAAGCCATTCATATAAAATCTTAAAACATGCAAAACAAGAGTATATATTTTTATGGATAATAAGTAAATGGTAAATGTATAAAAACCTTAAAGAGAATAAAACTCATTAAATTCAGGAATACAGAAGGAGGGAGGAGGGGCGCCTGGGTGGCTTAGTCGGTTAAGCGTCCGACTTTCGCTTAGGTCGTGATCTCGCGGTTCGTGGGTTCGAGCCCCGCGTCGGGCTCTGTGCTGACTGCCAGCTCAGAGCCTGGAGCCTGTTTCAGTCTGTGACTCCCTCTCTCTCTGACCCTCCCCTGCTCACGCTGTCTCTCTCTCTCTCTCCTAAAAATAAATAAAACATTAAAAAAAAAATTTAAAAAAAAAAAAAGAAGGAGGGAGGAGAGGAATCGGTGAGGACTGTACAGATGGCTTCAGCTCTGACTTGTTTGTGGTGTTTTGTTATGTACTTTTTAAGTTTTATTTATTTATTTTGAGAGAGTGTGTGTGTGACAGAGAGCAGGGGAGGGGCAGAGAGTGAGGGAGAGAGAGAGAGAATCACAAGCAGGCTCTACACTGTCAGCATGGAGCCCAATGTGGGGCTCGAACTCACAAACTGTGACATCATGACCTGAGCCAAAATCCAGAGTCAGATGCTGAGCCTGAGCTTGAGCCACCCAGGTGCCCCATGTTTTCTTATGTTTTGAATAAAGATCTCAGAACAATATGAAGCAGTTGTGGGATAATGGTAAGATCCGACTAGACTCAGTGGTAGATGTGCATGTGTTTCCAATGTTATCTCCATATGTTTCTGTACATTTGAAACATTTCTTTTTTTAAGTGAGTTATTATTCTTACTCAACATGGTTAATGAATCACAGGACAATTAAGAAAAATGTAATTAAAGTGTAAATCCATGTGGTGGAGCACCTGGCTGGCTCTTGGTAGAGCATTTGACTCTTGATCTCCATGTCATGAGTTCGAGCCCCACATTGAGTATAGAAATTACTTTTAAAAAAAAAAGTGTAAATCCACAAAAACCTTCCATGGTCAGTTTCATAATAGGGCAGAAGTATTAGATAAATGTCTTAAGAGAGAGTGATTAATGCATTATGTAATGACATACAGCTATTTTCCTGTATTTTCACCCAAACCAAGTAGTCTTTTAACTCCTTATCCAGCCTGATTCTAGGTGTTGAGTTTGGGAGAGAGTTTGCTCCACACACTGAGCTTTTCTAGTTGTCAGTGAGCAGAGGTAACACACAGCAAAAAAGGTAGCAGACTCTAGAAATCTGTGTGCATTTGAGCAGTGTGTATACTCGCTATAAAGAGGATGAGATGTACTCACTTGGTCTGCTCTGATGGCACAGTTGTAAGCAGACAGTCAGTATGTTGAAACCATCTCCCACAGACCTGTGACTCTCCAGGAAAACAGGCCGGGTTCCACAAGTTCCCAAAGCTGCTGTGAGAGGGCTGAAAATCCAGCGTGTGAGAATCTGCAAAATTTTTGACACTAAAGAAGTATCTTTTTATTATTATTATTTATTTATTTTGAGAGATAGAGAGAGTGCGAGCGGGGGAGGGATGGGGAGAATCCCAACCAGGCTCCGCACCAGGAGCATGACACGGGGCTCAAACCCACGAACGGTGAGATCATGACCTGAGCCAAAACCAAGAGTTGGATGCTTAACTGACTGAGCCACCCAGGTGCCCCTGACACTAAAGGAGTATCTTTTTACTGGAAACATTCCAGAACCGCTGCTAAATCATTCATGATTCATCATACACTTAATGACTTTGTTGAAGTATAATTGGCATACTATAATATTTCACCTGGTTTAAGTGGACAGTGATTTTAGTAGCCACACATCTTTAAATGAATGCAATCAATTTAATTTAATTAATTCAGTTTAATTGGAGGGAGAAGTAAGAAATATGTGGCAGAATAGGATGAGGCAGTGATGGAGTTTAGTTCACATTTTATAAATCATCAAAAGGAAAATTATGAATTATGATGCCATAAACAAATGTATAGCCACAATTTAAAGATAATTCAGGAGCACCTGGGTGGCTCAGTCGGTGAAGCGTCTGACTTCAGCTCAGGTCATGATCTCACAGTTTGTGGGTTCAAGCTCCACATTGGGCTCTGTGCTGACAGTGTGAAGTCTGGAGTCTGCTTTGGATTCTGTGTCTCCCCCTCCCATCCCTCCCCCATTTGTGCTCTCTTTCTCTCTCTCAAAAATAAATAAATGTCAAAAAAATTTTTTTAAAAAAAAGATAATCCCAAAGCCAGTCTCAAAATAACTCCTTGACAATAAGTGGATTCATAACCCTTTCCTCAAAATTCCCTGATACTACAGGAGTCTCTGGAGTTTGAGAGTATTTGCCAACAAAGAAAAATTCCCAATTATCACTTTCTTTCAGATAAACCTCTTCAGGAGGATTCTGATGTGCAAAAGAGAAAACTCCTGAAGGTGAGTATCTCCCAAATCTAAAGAACCAGAGACTCTTTCTCCCTCCACAGATATGAATATCGGTAAGAGTGGAAGAATATTGAGTATAGCCTGACCCTCACTGCCTCCCTTTCATGATTTCTTTATTGCAATTCTTGATATAGCATCAGTAGCTTAATAAATAGCGATTGTGATAGCTGATACTTCTATTGTTTTCATACTGATGTCAGATACTATTTTAAAAGATTCACAATTTCGTTAACCCTCAGAAAAACTCTATGATGTTTTCCTATCATTATTCCCAGATAATAATGAGGATAATAATAATAAAAACTAATCATAAAGATGAGGATGTTGAGGTGCAGAGATATTAAGTAATTTGCCCGAGACCACAGAGGCAGTGGTAGTAGTCTGTACATTTGAAACATTTTATTTTTTTTTTAAAGGGGTGAGTGTTCTTGCTAAACACTGTTAATGAATCACAGTACAATTAAGAAAAGCCCCAAAGGATTTCCAAGCTCAAGCACCTTTTCATGTGTTTATGAAGTTCAAGGATTTCCCCCAAGGCTTTACCCCACAGAATTTGCTCATGCTTCTGTTTAGACATCTGCTCTCACAAAAACAAAGTACCAGCTCCCCTCTGCCATGTGGCAGGGACACTTTCGTATGGGTTGAGAATGTCCTGAGCTGTCAGCCCCTCCCTACTGTGATCTCCTTTGGGGCCTTGTCTGCACCTGAGGCATCTCTGAGGCCTTGGGCCCAGCCCTGGGAATCCCTCCCAGGTACCTAAATGTTCACTGAATAAGTGATTCCACAATTGTAGAATAAACTCTACTTTAGAGGGTAAAGACATCTGGAAGTTGGAGACAGTTGAGAGATTTCAAAGAAGGATCATAAAAGAAAGTATTCATTTTCATTATTACCACATTGAAAAGTGTTTGCAAGCTCAGTACTTTCACTTAGCTTCTTTTACTTTTATTGTTCACTGTTTCATAAACGAGGGAACTGAATGAAAGGTAGCTTAAGATTGTTGGCCAATGACACATCCTGACGCAAGCAGAATTGGTACAGGAGCCATCTTACCTAATTCCACATTCAACGTTCTTGCCAGCATAGGACAGTAGGTGACATCTAGGGCTGCTTTCTTTGCTATCTATATTAATTGCTGTGAACCATTCCTTTCCTCTCCCTTCCCTGTACTCTTCTCCCCTATACCATTTTCCAGCAGTGTTTTGTCCTCTCTGTGCATTTTTACATTTATTCTCCCTGCAGCTCTGTACTAGCTTCTATGCGAGAAAGGAGGCCCTCCTTTCATCCACAGACTGTGTGGGTTCTTAGAATGCTATTCTACCCTAACTCTTCTGTCTACCACATTCTAGTTACATGGAGCATTTTGCTGTTTGCAAGAAGGTGAAAGCAAACATTCTAGCCCTGGAGACATCCTCATTTAGGCCATTCCTTTTTGCTCTAACCTCCCAGATTCTTCATAATTTAGGTACAGGTGATATAATGATCCTCCTGGGTTTGGGGGAACATTAATCAAAGTAATGCATGTGAAGACACTTTGTAAGCTCTAAAGCACTAGAGAAATGCTATTGATACTGTTCATATATGACCTTCACATTAAAAAGGTGATGAACAAGAAACCAAAGGAAGAAAATGATTTGGACCCAGCGCCAGTAGCACTTGGCTCTGAGCAGGCTCAGAAACAGCAGAGCCGCCCAGAAGGAGCGAGTACCTCTGGTAAACAGCTTGAGAAGAGACCAGGTAAGAGATAGCTATATGCGAACAACTCCCCTGTTTCCTGGCTGTGTTCAAGTATGTGGTCTAGGTATGGGGGATGGATCCTGGACAGGGTTGGAGCCAGACTGGACTGAGGAACTCCCCCAGTTCCAGCTGAGATGTTAAAACATGACTTCCAGGGTCATAGACCTAACTTGTCATTGATATAAAAACTAAGTGACTAAGGGTGCCTGGGTGGCTCGGTTGGTTGTGTCTGACTCTTGATCTCAGCTCAGGTCATCTCAGGGTTGTGAGTTCAAACCCCATGTTGGGCTCCATGCTGGGCGTGGAGCCCACTTTAAAAAAATAAAAATTAAAAATAAAAGCCAAGTAGGGGTGTCTGCGTGGCTTAGTCAGTTAAATGTCCAACTTGGGCTCAGGTCATGATCTCACGGTTCATGGGATCAAGCCGCTCATCAGACTCTGTGCTGACAGCTCGGAACCTGGAGCCTGCTTCAGATTCTGTGTCTCCCTCTCTCTCTACCCCTGCCTGACTTGTGCTCTGCCTCTCTCTGTCTCTCAAAAATAAATAAATGTAAAAATTTTTTAAACAATAAACAATAAAAGCCAAATGACTATAGGCAAGTCTTCTAAATTCTCTGAACTCCAGATTCCTAGTCCATAAAACAGAAATAAAGAATCATAGTTCACAAATTGTTCAAAGGCATTAAGTATAGAAAGCCTGAAATTATGAAAGGTAGTCAAGTAATTTCATCTGTATAACCTGGGAATGCATCTTACTCACAGTTGTACCCCACCCCTCAGCTCAATGCCTGACACACAACATGCCCTTATCACACATATGCTGAATGAAAGAAGGTCTGAATGAATGTTCTGGTAAGTAAAGAGGTTGGGAATCTAAATCTGACAATGGGAGGAGCCAGAAGCTAAAACTCGGCATTTGGTGTGTATCGGTGCAGGTCTAACATCTCAACCTCTCTGGGCCAGAAGATGTGGAAAACAGACTGTGTTGAATACCTGTGGACATTTGGAAGGGAGGAGGCATTTCCTTATCTGAAAAAAATACAACAACAGAGATTTACACTCCCCAACCCATCCAACCGTCATTTACCAACTCTTCTCCACCATAGGATCCAAGAAAGGGAAGAATAGTTGTGCCTATAGACTGCGCGAAAGAAAGAACCTAATAGTATATGAAGAGATCAGTGATCCCGAGGAAGATGACAAATTCTGTAAGTGACCTTTCAGTCCATACCCGCACCCCAGAAAAATGAACTTGTCTGTTATAGAACTGGTATCCCATCTTGTCGCTTATTCCCCAAGTCATTCCTTTATCCTAGTCCCCTGGGGTGCAGCATTGAAGCTAAATGATGAGGTTTCCCATGCTCTTTCTGCTCCTTGCTCTGTATATCCAGGGATCCCCCTAACTAGACTGCTGTGGGCCCCCAAATCCCTGGTCAGTTCCTGATTTGTAGGCCACAACTTCCTGTAGTCTAGGAGAACTCACAGGACAGGTAAGGGGGTCACTATGGCATGAGCATAAGGTTCACTCTGAGGAGCAGTGGGAGATGCATGCAGATCGTGTAGGGTAGAACCAGAGTGCTTGGAGTCCTGCAGGTCTGGATGAGGAGTTTGGTATTGATTTATCAGACAAGAGGAGCTCACTGCCACTGATTCTCTTTCTCTTTCCTTGCCTCAACCTCAGGATGTTACAAGTGCCCATGATAAGAAGCAGAACCTGGTGGCCTTTCATGAACATGGGCATGGCTGTGAATTCCTAGCCATCAGGTGTATAGCAAGTAAAAGAAAGAGTTCACAATAGTGAAAAGTTAAATGTGATTTTTGTTACTGTGTGCCAAATATTCTGTTAGATGTAAGAGTTTTGCTAATGTGCAAAATACCATATATATATATGCATATATATATTTCTGTGTATCCATATATATATTTCTGTGTATCCAAATATATATATATATATATATATATATATATATATATTTCTGTGTATCCATGCACTTATCTTAGAAAATAAGCATTGCATTGTCAGGTAATTCTCTGCACAGAACAGCACTACCTTCCTCCCCAGATGTGCAGATGTGATTGCTGAAGTCAGTTCTGGGTGTTTGATTTCGTGTTTTCTCTGCATTTACACACTCATGCGCGCGTGCACGCGGTACTACTATAAGCATTTCCCATGAGGTTTTTCCCCACTACCAGCATGTCTTGGACACGTACTACTCATTTTGTTCCTGTTCAGCAGGGGCTCCATGTTGCAAATCCTCTTTATTACTTTACATTGTATTAGTCATTGACAGTTAATAAATATGTACAAGCTTTTCTCAGTTGTTTGCTCCTCTCATTCTTGTGTGCAGAGCCCTGTGCATAACTGGGAGTGTTTCTTTGGCAGTCTTAGAAGTGTAATTGTCTTGTCAAAGGGTTCATTCATTCAACACCTACTGAACATGTACTGTGTACTGAATGCTGCTCTAGGAGCTGGAAAGACATCAAGGAACACGACAGAGAAATGTCCCAGCCCAGATGGAGCTGACATTCTGATGGGCGATGTTTCCGGTTTTTATTTTGATGGATACTATACACCCCAATTCTGGGGCAAGTGCTGGTTGGACACCTTGGCCTTTGCTCTCTGTAAGATCTCCAGGGTAAGGGGCTAGGATGGTCCATTTGGAAGTCTGTGAGAGGAGACAGAGATAAAAACCATCAACTGGGGAGTATAGAAAGATCGGGAAGGAGTGGTCCCCTGGAGAGCACATGGTGGGCAGGAATGGAAGAGTCCACTAATCATGATGCAAGAGAGCAGCAGATGGAAAAATCTACTGGACAGAAGTATGAAACTGTCCATCAAGGGTCTCATGACCAAAGGTTTGAGGTAGGGGTGGGGATGAAGTGTCGAGAATGGGAGAGTCTCCTTCTATACATACCATTGCAGACCACACAAACAGCTCTGGGAAAAGGAAGAGGGGAGTCTTTTGGGGAACAAAACATTGTATGACACATTAAGGGACATTAAAACTGACAACAGAGATCATCAAGGTGACTTACATGGGACATCAAATACCAGTCCCATATGGAGGCAGGGTTGGCCTTGTTTTAACCATCCACTGCCCATCACCTCAGCCTCCCAGCAACTCCCCAGCCTTGGCAGGTCTCCACTCTTCCGCTGAGGCATCCATCTCCTCTGCCTCTGCCTTTGTTCCACCTCTGGATCTATCTCCTCATCCCGATAGATTTGGATCCAAGGCAGGGAGAAGCCATAAACCCACAGATGATTGGGTCCTGGAGGAGACAGACAGGAATTAAAGATTCTCCTAGGACTATGGCTAATCATCATGACTCCAGGCTAAGTCCTCTTTTGCTGGGCTGGAATTGGGTCTGCCTTTTCCCATGCACACACTATGACAGCTGCAGGGTTGCAGTATTGCTGTCCTCACATCAGCTCTGGGGCTGGGTCTCCTAAAGCCCTGAGGTTGGTGGACCCCACTCCAGAGGAATTTGCCCTGATAGATTGAGAAAAGCTTCAAAGAATCACCATCCTTTGGAGCTCTAGACAAGACAGACAAAGTGGGGAATAAGGCATGGCCAAGGGTGTAGACCGACAGAGATACATACATGAACTTTTTCTGACCAGCGTGTTTCCCATGATACAGTCTTCTTCACAGGGCTGACTCTCCCCGACAGAGTCAGCTCCTGGGGAATGTGGAGGGAGGGCATCCTTGTTTACCTGCTTCTTTGAGAATATTATCCTGTCACTTGTCACATCTCTGGGTGGGATAGGCCCCAAGTCCAGGACTTTGCATCCCAGTCCAGTAACACCATTTGCAGGAATGGGGAAGGTCTGGTTCCCTGGGGTCTTCTCAGCCCACATTCCACAGTAACCATAGAAAGTGCAATTAATATTCATCACGTGTTTATTAGATGTTATATATAAATAGAGAGAGAGAGAGATTATACACAGAGACACCGGCAGATGTCAGACTTCTTGCCAGAGTTCCTGCAGCTTGCATGTGTGGGATGGATGGACTTGGAACTCACTGAGACTTCAGACATCAAGGAGAATAGGTGTGGGGTTGCCTGGGTGGCTCAGTTGGTTGAGCTTCCATCTCTTGATTTAGGCTTAGGTCATGATCTCACAGTCTGTGGAACTGAACCCCGCGTTGGGCTCTGCACTGCTGGCAGTGCTGAGCCTTCTTGGGGTTCTTTCTCTCTCTCTTTCTCTGCCCCTCCCCAGCCTCCCTCTCAAAATAAATAAATAAGTAAACTTTTTTTTTTTTTTAAAGGAGAACAGGTGTGTATTGGAGGGGGGATGTGAATAAGCTTCAGGTTATGTCCCAAGTTTCAGAGTAGAGGACAACATGGATGACCTTGAGGGTATAATGCTACGTGAAATAAGACAGAGGAAGACAAAAATAGCATATTATTTTATTCATATATGGAATCTGAAACAACACAAACGAACGAACAACACAAAAACAACATAATAGAGAACATATTGATGGTTACCAGGGGGGAAAGGTGTTAGAGGGTGGGCAAAATGGGTAAAGGAGGTCAATTGTATGGTGATGTATAGTAACTAGACATTTGGTGGTGATCACTTTGTAGTGTATACAGATATTGAATTATACTACTTGGTACACCAGAAACTTAAATGATGTTACACACTAATTTCGCCTCAATAAAAAGATTTTTTCTCCTTAGGGAGACACGTGCTTGTGGTAACACAGTTTTTGAGCCAGTGACGTAGGCCAACAATGCCTTTGACAACGTTTTATGTGTTTTACAGTTTTGTCAGAATGTTACAATCATAAAATGCATGCAAGTTTCATTGTAGGGCGCCTGGTTCAGACTCTCTGTAAGCTGGTAGGACGTGCGGAGTATTCCTCTTTGCCTTGGGATAACTAGCCATGGAGCCAATAGACAAGAAATGGTCCCTTCTCAGAGTGTAGTTCTTGCTCTTTTATCCATCTACCCTCTGTTTGAAGCTTCTCCGGATATATTCTTCTCTTCTTGGTTGTTTCCTCCTGCTCATTTTGGCTTCTGGTTCCCTTCACCCTTGAAAATTTCATCCGAGCTACTTTCTCTTTTTAAGCAATTCTTCACGATTTCTGGTCCCCAAATGGCACCCTTTCTTGTTTTCTGGTACTGTATACTATTTTTTTTTCTGTTATTTCAGTGGAGAGGTAGACAAGTTTACTCAAGCAGCCATCTTCAGATCATCTTTAAGGGTATCTTTTAAACTTCCTAGGAAACAGTTCTTTTACTTTTATTGCATTCAGAGAATGTTCCTTGCATTTTTCTACATTTTGGGGGGCAGATTCATCAAGATTGTATTTGCAGCCTATTACATGGTCAAATGTATTAATGTCCATGGGTATTATACAGAAGATTGGGAAGATTGCTTAATTTCTATTTATTTATTTATTGAGAGAGAGACAGAGATAGAGACTGAGAGAGAGAGAGAGAGAGAGAATCCCAAACAGGCTTCACACTGCCAGCGTGAGCCCGATTCAGGGCTCAAACTCACAAACCATGAGACCATGACCTGAGCCGAAACCAAGAGTTAGATGCTTGACTGACTGAGCCATCCAGGCACCCCTGATTATTTACTTTCTTTAATGAACAATTCTTGGAGTTGTACCTTAGAGGTATAAAGGGCTACTGCCAGTCAATCTATGTAGCATTGGAGGGGAATCTACAATGAACTTTTCAATGAAACCACTTGATAATTATCCTAAGGCCCACTAGCACTCTTTGTCCTTTTTGACTCTGAGTTTGGACTTTTTCAGAGGCTTTGTTACAAAGAACAGCTCTTGCCTCTGGTGACTTGAGATGTGATCCTGTCTCCTTGGACTTCTCTCTTGGTCTGATCCCACCTTTCTATCTCCCAGGAGTGCTTCGGCATTTCTGGTGGCCCACCAGCACCTTTTCCCTGTACTGTTAAGAATGTATCCTGGGACACCTGGGCGGCTCAGTTGGTTAAGCGTCTGACTCTTGATTTTGGCTCAAGTCATGATCTCATGGTTCGTGAGTTCAAGCCCCACATCAGGCTCTGCACTGTCAGTGCAGAGCCTGCTTGGGATTCTCTCTGTCCCTCTGTCTCTGACCCTCCCCTGCTTGCTCTCTCTCTCTCTCTCTCTCAATAAATAAATAAATAAGCTTTAAAAAATAATTTATCCTTGGGGTGCCTGGCTGGTTCAGTCAGTAGAGCATGTGACTCTTGATCTAGGAGTCATGAGTTCGAGCCCCGCGTTGGGGGTGGAGTTTACTTTAAAAAAAAAGAATTTATCCTTAAGAGCACTTCTTAGATCAATAGATTGTTGGGTGGGATGGGAAATAGACATACAGGCTGTATTTACCATCTTCCTCCGATCATTTGTTTGTAGATATAATATATTTTTGTCACTATATGAATGTAATTTTCCTCCATTTTTAAAGTAGATTTCACACCCAACACAGAGCCCAAAGCAGGGCTTACTCATGACCCTGATATCAAGACCTGAGCTGAGAACAAAAGACTCTTAACCAACTAAGCCACCCATGTGCCCCAATTTTCCTCCATTTTATTCTCTAAATGGCATTTTAGTCTCTAAATTGTACTTATTATTACACAGAAACCCATCAATTATTGTATATAAGGGGCACCTGGCTGACTCCATCAGTAGAGCACACAACTCTAAATCTCAGGGTTGTGAGTTCAAGCCCCACATTGGGTGTGGAGCCTACTAAAAAGAATTGCTTTCAGGGGCACCTGTGTGGCTCAGTCAGTTAAGCTGACTGAGTCTCAGGTTATGATCTCGCAGTATGTGAGTTCGAGCCCCATGTTGGGCTTTCTGCTGACAGCTCAGAGCCTGGAGCCTGCTTTGGATTCTGTGTCTTTCTCT